TTTTGTGTAGAGCTGTAGGCAGGACTGGCGTGAGAGTCTTTCTTTCTTTCTTTTTTTTTTTCCCCTTCTTTTTTCCCCACAACGTGCTGAACGGTCAAAGCTCTCATTAATTTAAATTCATGTTTGGTTCCCCGAACTGGGAGCCAGCCCACGCGGCCAGCGGCTTTATAAACATCCCGGGCGGGCGCGCGGCGGGGATTTCCGTGGTGATCCTGCGATGTCCATAGGGCAAGGGGGGAGCACTGGTAGCGCCGGTCTGGGGCTCTCCGTGCTGCTTCCCTGCTTTTCTCTTCTCCCTTGCTGCCATCAGACCCCGACACGCTCCGTGCTGGTGGCATTTCCTTGGTGTTGCAGCTGAGCCGGTGTCCTCCGGCTTGTCGCCTGTGGATGCAGTTGGTGATTTAAGGGTTGAGCTGGAAGACGTTGCACCCACCCAGCGCCGGTGGGTTTGGGTCAGGGCAGCGGCCGTCGGATGCTTTGCTCTGCAACGGTTGTGAGTGGTCTGGTGTCCTCATTATGGGAGATGCTTCACGCGGTGAAAATCCCCAAGGTTACACGTGTAAGACAGAGTAGAGCTGCAGGAATAAAATGTAGCAGTCACTGAATTCAGTTTAAAACCAGTATTGGTAGAAAGCAATATAAAAGGAAGCAGATGCAGCATGTCCTCGGTCCCTCCTGGGCGTTTGACTGTTCCCATCTCACAGCGTCTCCTGCTCTGCGCTGGGTAATTCCTAAAAAACAGGTTATTGCCTTTTTACTGATGGCAAGGGTGGCCCAAGGGAGCAGCGGGCACAGGGAGAGCCGGTGAGAAGTTCATCTCAGTTTTGTGAGTCCCAGGCGAGTGCATGGTTCCCTTTGGGAAAATGGATTTGGGGGTTTATGCTACATAAGGCATAAACCTTATCGTACCCAGCAAGGTAAAGGAGCGGGCAGGACAGCAGTGGAGGTCCTTGTTCAAGCTCCACCATGGCAGTGCAGAAATACCAGCTCGGCTTATTAATAAGATTCTGTTGGTTCTGATTGCGGCACGGGGCTGGGAATTGTTGTAAGGCTTGAAAAGATGAGCAACAAGAAAGGGGACAAAAGTCAACACCAGGAGCTTGCAGCACCCATCTTTGCCGTGAACCGAAGGGCAGCCTGGCAGGCGATGCTGGTGCTGTGCTGTGCGAGCTGCTGGCTCGCATAAACTCCCCTCAGTTTCTCCTAATTGAACCTGTTTATAATTTAAGGGTTCATGGAATCACGGAATCACGGAATTTTCAGAGTCGGAAGGGACCTCTAGAGTCCCACTCCCCTGCTAAAGCAGGATTGCCTGGAGCACATTACTCAGGACTGCATCCAGGCGGGTCTTGAAAATCTCCAGAGAAGGGGACTCCACAGCCTCCCTGGGCAGCCTGTTCCAGTGCTAACACAGTTTTTACGATAACACAGTTTTCTGCTTGGAAATTTCCTTTGGGGGGTTGTCGTTGGCTTGTTGGGTTTTTTGTTGTTTTTTTTTTACTGTTTTGTTTGCTCCAAACACTTCGGAAATGGTGACGCGGCACACAAGACTGGAGGATGTTTATTTTGGGGAGAGATGCTGCCCCGCGGCAGCGGTCAAAGGGATGGAGGTGGGATGCTCGTGCTGCGGGCGCAGGGTTTGGGGGGAGCGTTGGTGTTTCTGCAGGGGTTTGGGAGCCTCCCCACGTTCCTGCTTTTCCTTTGTGGCAGCCCAGGTGATTCATGAGCGAAACTCCCCCGGGGCCAAATTTCTAATCTTTCCCAGGATTATAGAGGGAGGCGAGGAAGGAGGTGTCGTAAGAGCCGAGCAGGCGATGGCCCGTGCGGGCTGCCTGCCCGTGTGTCGCGTCGGCTCTGGCACTGCACCCCTGTCCCCGCAAGACTCATTCAGGGGGAGGGAGAAATAATTAAAGAATAATAAAATTAAATAATAGAATAATTTATTTATTTTTTTTAATATTAAAAAATATAAAGTCACTCTGCAAACGTTTGCCGTGACAGCGGCCGTGACAGCGGCATGACGGTCCCTGAGTCACCCTGCGCCCTGGGGACAGGACTCGGGGTGCATAGGTGGGATGGGTGTGTGGAGCCACGGGAAGGGGGGTAGGATGCTCTGCACCCACCCTACCCACCTCGCTCCCTGCCGCCGGCCCTAACTGCTATAAGAATGGTTTACCCCAGTTTTCCTAAAGATTACTTTCCCTTTGATTAGACAAACAACTTCAAGCTGTACGTCTTAATTTGATTTGAATAAGCCTAACGCTTGCCGTGAAGTTTTTTTCCTCCCTTTTATTCCCCCCTTTTCTAAATCCGCTGTCACTGCTCTTCATGACCATAAATGATTAAAAGCTTTACAGGAATATTGTGCCCCCATCCCTTAAATTCCTGTTGTATTACTCGGGTCATATTTTTATTATGATTTTTTTTTCTTGTTGAGTGATTCGTCCTTTTTCTTATTAAACGATCAGCCAGGTGAAAGGGGTTATTTTTGTCCCGGTCTCCTGCAGAGCCGGGAGCTGGTAGGGAGAGGGTGCAGGGATCCTGCCCCACTTCCCACTGACGTTATCCCGGGCTTTCCCTTCGGTTCCCCCTCTGGGGCTGGATCCAGCTCATGGCTTTGCTCTCTGCAGCCAAGGGAGGAGTATCTCATCCCCGTGAGTGCCGATTCCCGTGGGAGGCCGTGGCCGAGCAGGTTGGTGCAGCTTGAGCTCTCCGAGGGGTTGCAACCCATCCCACCGAGGCAGCGACCGGCTCTCCAAAACACTGCCGGAAGGCAACGAGAGCATCCAAGTCCTAGCAGTCATATTTAATAATAATTAGGACACCCAGAAATATGTACAGGCATCAAAATAAGGCTGTTTTCCAAGTGAGTGCATGGCGGGGGGGTTAAGAAAGGAGTGATGCTCCCTGGACCGAGTCCGTTCCTGTTGGCAACCCCCAGGCAATGGCTGGTCCCAGCCCAGCGCTGGGGCTGCCCCGTGTCCCGCGGGCCGGGAGAGCGGCTCAGGGCTGGCATCGGCGCCGCCATCGCCTCGCTGCTCCCTGCCAGCTGCCACAGGGCACCTCTTATTAACACAGCATCAGTTAAAAGAAGGAATCTTGAGTTCCCTGCACCGGCAGGGCTGTGCGCAGGGAGCTTGCACATGAAACGGCCCCTCGTCCGTCCATCCGTCCGTCCATCCGTGTGTGCACAAACTGCAGGGCTGGAGCAAGGCAGACTGGTTCTCGGCGTTGCCGCTTTGTGATGGTGAAGCTGGAGGTGCCCGGCAGAGCCCTGTCCCCAGCGCGGGGCCGTGCAGGGGGCTGTGCCCGTGGCACCCAGGCTGCGGGACCCTGCCTTCGGTTTCCTGCTTTATTCTCCAAGGTGAGGTGTGGTTTGGGGTTTTTTTATGCCAAGATTGTTGCAGAGGAGAAGACTGAGCCGTCAGCTTCGTTCGGCGCTGTCAAGACCAGCCTGGAGGTCCTGACGAGAGTGATGTCTGAAATTCAGGCGTTGCTGTTGAACGGGGAGTTGTCTCCACCCTCATTAGCTTGTTGCACGCCACGTAACAGTGAGGTTTTCAGCCCCCTGCCCTGTCCATGCTCAGGCGCCTGCAGAGATGCCGGCATGGGGGGGACTTGTGATTTTGGGCCAAATCCCACCTTTTCCCTGGTTGCAAGGGGCAGCACAGCCCCGCTTTGCGTGCAAATCCCGTCTGCCTGGACACGGGTGCAAACCGGTGTGGAAAGGTGAATTTGGGTTTTTGCTGTTGACTGTTAACCCTTGTTTTCAGCCGGGCCGAGCGGCCGTGGTTATCAGCTGCGCCGCAAATCGAGTTACGCGCAGGCAGCTTCATTCATATTCCCCGGCTCCTGCCGGTCTTGCCTCGTTAGAAATTCTCCAGCCTCTTTTATCCGCTTGCGGCTTCGAGCACATGATTTACGATCTGGTTTGAGTGGCTCCCGAGCGTTGCCGGCTAATTTGCCACCCTTTATTCGCAGGATTAATGCCAGGCGGTGCGACGCTGCCCTGCGGATGGAGGGGCGATAGCTGGAGGGGGAACCGTGTTGGGTGCTGGGGGGTGATGCTGTATCGGGTAGGGGTGCCCCAGCATGGGAGTGGGGTGATTTATGCACGGTAAACTTCTGCCTCAGTTTCCCCTGCAGCATCGGTATCAATATGCGTCGTGGTGAGATGTGTGTGCCGGCCACAGAGACCTGGCACAGTTGCTGCACGTGTGGCCAGTCCCTGGCATTTCCCCCCTTTTTTCCCTGTTTTGTGGCGAGGGAGGGAGGCTGAGCCCCTTCTCGGATGGGGGGTCCCCGCATGACGCCGGGTCCTGCTCCCGCCAGCACGTCCCCCAGGAGCTGTGGGGTGGGATGATTTGATGACAGAGCCCCTCGCCACGAGCTGCCTCTCTCCCTTGGGGTGAAGGCAGAGCACCTGGTGGCTTTGGCCTGTTTTGGGGACACCTTTGGGTGCCAGGCTCTCCTCTTACCCAGTGTGTAGGGGTGGGGGCAGTCGGCACAGTGTCCTCGCAGGGACGTGTTTGTCACCTCCTGCTCTCTGCTGCCTGCAGAGCTCAGGCATGGCAGTGCTCTGTGTCCACTTCAGCGCCGCGTCGTCCGGCTTGGCATGGCCACAGCCCGCTCCTCTGGAGTGTCCCACCACGCGGTCGGTCCGGCACACCCCCTGCGGTAGT